GGGGGGGGGCGGGGAGGTCTCTGCTAAAACCGGGGCCTCTCACTCCTTAGGAGCATGGCAATGTGGCAGCATGGAGTCATACTGGAAATCATGGATCACCTGATTCTGTCTCTCACCTCTTCCTCGGAGAGCTACCGGACGACAGGCACTGCGTTCTTCTCTGAGGCAAGGGGCACCAGCCCTCTCAGCAGACTCTCTCAGGCCCCTCGCATAGATTCCCCAACTTATGTGGCTTACCACTCTCTTTTCAGAAAAGAGAAAATATATACTACTCAGCACCCCCCAACCCCCGTCCCCTGATCCTGGCAAGTAGAAACGTTTGTGCTATACCCCATAATCCAGGGTAAAGTGTAGGCACCTGCTTTCGCAGCTGCCCCTCTGATCCTCCCAGCGTTCAGAGGGTGCTATCACCCACTTTGGGAAACACTGCCTTAAGGCAGTTCTCTTGGGGTCAAGAACTCTGTGAGAGGGACCGTCGAGGGGAGCTCTGCTGGTGGAAGGAACCCAGCTGCTTCCAGAAATAGAGCCTCAAAGCAGAAAGGGGAAGAGCACCCCTCCATCTCTTCCTGCTTTCTGGTCTGCTCTGCAGAAATCAGCCTTCCTGCACAGAGAAGGGCCGAAAACAGATCTGGGCAGGCAAACGCCAAGAGTGACCCAACAAGCCTATTATTGTCCCCCTCAAACCCTGGGATGAAAACGATCCCAACATATCCAGCAAGGAACATCACCGGTGGTCCTTATTTTACCTGTCCCATCTGTCCATTTAGACTAGATGGTGCTGCGCTCAGCACGCCCTCTTAACCTTGAACTGTGGGCCGCTCCCATCTAGAGCGGAGCTTCTCCCTGTCTTAGGCTTTCCCCTGCTCTTTAACTAGAGCTATCGATTCCTTTGGCGCTGTCCTGAAGGGAGGCCACTCCCTTAACTAAGGGGGAGGAGTGTGTCGGTTTCAGCTCATGAAGGAGCCCATCCTTTGGAAGCACGGGAATCTCCGCGACGTGCTGGTCTTGATGGATCAGAGTGCCTGGGACTCCAACGCTATCCTGAGGCAGATGGCCATCCGAGGCCTGGGCAACACCGCGTTAGGATCCCCGCACAAGGTACAAGGAGTTCGTGAGAAGGCGGTTCATTTAAGTTGAGCTTTGAAAAATTAATTTTAGCTGCAATAGTCATTTACTAAGGGGCACACTGCAGTTGCATTAGGATGAAAGGAACGTCTGAATGAACTGCTCAAGTGGTGGCACTTGGGCGGACGTAAATCTGTTAGGACAGGATTGTTGTCGCCTGGTTTGGGAACCCCCACCCTACCCCAGAATACATTGAAGCACGCTGGTGTTTAAGAGCTTGTTCTTCCAACGCAGGTGAAGAAGCACAAGCAGATCATGTTAGAATCCATCATCAGAGGCCTGTATCACCTCGCCCGGACGGAAGTCGTCTGTGAAAGCTTGAAGGCTCTGAGAAAGATCCTGGAGTTGCTCACAGACCGCGATGTGAGCTTCTACTTCAAAGAAATAGTCCTGCAAACAAGAACTTTCTTTGAGGATGTAAGTCAGCCCATCCAAGAGTCCTCTCGCCCCAAAGGACATTTGTGAACAGAAAGAGGTTCACAGCAGTGCCTATAGCAGCCAATGCCCGGGTCCCAAACCACATGCCTTGGCCGGCTACAGAGGTCACCCGCAGACAATTTCTGTACAGGCCCTTGGCTACCTGTGTCTCTCTGCCTGAGGAGACTGGGAGGTCTGGGCATCAGAGTGGTCTGAGCAGCAGGGACTAGAAGAGTGGGGAAGCGAATGGCTGGGTAGCATTGAGGAAGCCAAGAGGAGCAGTTGATAATGAATCCCCCAGGTTCCCATGACTCAGGTCTGATTTTCACTTACCCAAAAGGTAACCCACACATTAACAGGCCCTTCCTTCGCTTTCCTCCATGCCCTACCACAACCCTAATCTTCTAGCATGCTTCCTGGTCTTTCCTTGCAAAAATATGGTTGCTATTGTTGTTATTAGGTGTCGTCCATCTGTTAGAGCCCACACTAAGCCTGTGTCCAAGAATGAAAGACTGCCGAGCCCTGCACCATCCTTTAAACGGTCCCTGTGTTTGAGCTTTGTTGCAGGCCCTGTGTCAATTCTTCTGGTTCAGGGCCTTCCTCTTTCACACTAACCCTGTACTCAGCATGAAGTCCTTCTGAAGGACTGGCTCCTCTTCGTAGCATATCCAAAGTATGTACGACCAGCCTCACCATCCTTGTTTGTAAGGAGATTTCTGGCTACTTAATACCATAATTCAAAGACATCAATTCTTCAGTCTTTCGTAGTCTTTTCCAAATTTCACGTGTATTTGAGGCAAATTGAAATGCCATGGCTTGGGTCAGGGCACCTAAGTCTTCAACATACCATCATGTTTTTTCAGCCCTTTAATGAAACCTTTCGCAGCATATATTGTTGTTGTTGTTTGTTGTTGTTGTTGTTGTTGTTGTTAGGTGCCATCAAGACCATTTCAACTCATAGCCATCCTGTGCACAACAGAATGAGACACTGCTGGCCCTGCGCCATCCTCGGTATTTTGTTACATCTGAGCCCATCATCGCAGTCATGGTGCTAGTCCACCTTGTTGAGGGTCTTCCTCTCTTTTGGTGACCGTCTACTTTACCTAGCATGCGATCCTTCTCCAGCAGCTACGCTGTCCTGATAATATGTCCAAAGCACACGAGATGAGACAGAATCTTGCTGTCCTTCTTTCTAAGAATCATGCTGGCTATACTTCTTCTGAGACAGACCTGTTTGGTCTCCTGGTACTCCTTGGTCCTTTCAATATCCTTTACCAGCACAGTCAGTCAAATGCATCGATGTCTCTTCAGTCTTCCTTAGTCAACGTCCGATGTTCACGTGCATGTGAGGCCGTGGAAATATCGTACCCGGGATCAGGCACATTGTCTGATAAAAGTGACACTTTCATCCTTCAACACATCAAAGAAATCGTGTGCACAAATTTTCCCAGTATAATCTGGCATTTGATTTCATGAGCATTGATCATGGACATAAGCAAAATTAAATCACTGATCACGTCGATATTTTCTCCATTTATCATAATGCTGCTCATTGGTCCAGTTTTGAGGACTTTTCTCTTTTTTATGTTGAGACGTCACCCATACTGCCATATGTAGTCTCTAATCTTCATCAGTAAGTGCTTCCACTTGCCATCACTTTCAGCACAAAAGGTGGTCAACGGCATTTCGAACTTGTCCATGACTCCTCCTTCCGTTCTGATGCTGTGTTCTGCCTATGGTCCAGCTTCACAGGCTGTTGGCTCAGCATACAAATGGAAGGAGTACTATGAGACAATGCATGTTTTCCTAATTTTCAAGCATGCATATCCCCTTGTTGTGTTCCAATGGCTGCCTCTTCTATGTGCAGATTCCTCATGAGCACGGTGAAGTGTTCTGGAGTTCCCATTCTTCTCAATGTTATCCATCATTTGTTATAGCACATACAGTGGAATGCCTTCCTGGAGGAATGTAATTACACAATTATCATTCCTGTACACTCTGCTTTCAGCCACAACCCTCTTATATCAGCAATGATACCCCTTACCCCACATTCTCTTCTGAAGGCGCTGCTCTAACTGTTGTCACTTATCTTCAGAAATTTTTATTTGCCTATGATATGAATTATATTATTTGGCAATTCCCACCTTTCATTAGATAGATCACCTTCTCTTTGGAACAGACATAAATATAAATCTCTGCCAGTTGGTTGACCAACTGACCAAATTAATTGGCATCACCTCTTCATCTAGTCCAAGGTCCTAATTTTAAAAAGAAAAGAAAAACCATCCAGTAACCCTAGGTAGAGTAGGGAAGGGTCATTTTCCTTTATACCTTCTAGGAAACTAGATTTTATTATCTATTTCTGGTTTACATTGAAATCAATGTGGAATTCACTTAACATGTCAAACTATAATCGAGCATTTGATAGTCTAACCTTGTTTCTTCACAGGTGGCTGTCAGGGGAAATAAGTTACTGCCAGTTGCTCTTTCCAGGACATCCTCCGTCCTCACTAAGCGTTTATTGCATTACCAGTTTACCTGCTGGTCTCCAGACTAGCAAGTCTTCATTTCCCGCATTATGCCTCATAAACCTAATTTTTCTGCCCTTTAAATATTCTACAGCTAGTGATTGATTTAGACATCTAAATTAAGGCTCAGTAGTTCTGAATGGAATATAAAGAAAAATTACCACTCAATTCTAACCGTTTTAAAAATGTATTCACCCAATAGCTTGTTCTGTTTTTGTTTTTTGTCCCTTTCTTCCTGAGTAGCAAATCGTTAAACACTTTGAACTCCAGATTGGTGCTTGTGCTGTTAGCCCGTGAGTGGCACAAGAGCTTCATTCTCAGCTAGGAACTAAATGGTTGGCACCTTGAACACACCAAGTGACCCAGTGGTCTACTTGCACCTCGATTACCGCCAAGAACACAATGTGGAGACAGTTCCCCTCTATAGCACCTTGGGCGCTGTGAGTTGGAATTGACTTGAAGGCAAGAGTCAATGCTCTGGGTTTGCATTTTTTTTTCTCCCTTCCCTCCTTCCTTTCAACGGGCCAGCCTAAATCTGGTCTTTGGAAGTCACTTTGTGCTTATTTTCAACCACACATTTCAATTTGTCAATATCATTTTTGGGCGGAGCTGGTGGGGGGGTGTTAAAAAAATCCTCACTGCCATCAAGTCAATTTTTACTTATAGCAACCTGATAGGACAAGGCAAAATGCCCCTGTGGGCTTGTGAGGCTGTAAATCTTGACAGGAGTAGAAAGCGTCATCTTTCTCAACTGGTGGTTTCAAACTGCTAGCCTTGCGGTCAATAGGCCGATTCATAGATTCCTAGCCCACTACACCACCAGCACTCTCAGACCCTAGGCACTTGGTTCTTTAAATTTGGATTAGTTGGGACAAAGCTTCTAGAAAAGGAAGTGGAATGTTGATTATGGTCTGTATCAAGAGTGCCCTCCAAGAGGACCCTCATGCCACAGTTCCTGCTTTGCTTTGCTGAAGCCAGGCAAGATGGAGTGGGGCCAGGTGGGCTGGCCTGGCCAGTGAGGGCCCGCTTTCCCATACATTGCATCTGCTGTAACAGGAGCAAGATGATGTGAGGCTGACTGCCATCTGCTTATTTGAGAATCTGGCTTCACTAACTGGAAGAAGGTGGAAGATTTTTTATGTTGAAGAAATAAAAAAGAGCATGATTTCCTTCCTTCTCCACCTCTGGGATCCCAACCCCAAGATTGGAACTGTAAGTGGCCCCCTATGGACACCTCCCTCTCCTTGTTTTTCCTATAATTGAGAAGCCCTGATGAGATGAACTGAAAGACCAAATCTGAGTTAAAACTCCGACGTGAACTTGAAAACAGTTTCTCCAACTGTGGGCTCTCTCTGGCCATCTCTTTCTGGTCTTGCTCATCCGTTCTTGAATCTGAGAAAATGTCAAGAGTGATTAGAGGGTCTTTCAGTCTACTGACCCTTACTGCTTCCATTTTCCAGTGCTAGTCATCATTTTCCCTCCCGGAAAGGGGCTCCCAGCAGCATGCATAGCCACCCACACACACTGAAAATAAAAATTAAAAATCTCTGTTTCCTAGGCTTGCCGTGATGTCTTGATTGTCTGCATTCCTTTTCTGGGCCTTCAAGAACTCTGTGGAGTGTTAGACCACCTCCTTGATGGCCAGGATCTACCAAGGGTCAGGGACTTCTATCGGCAATTCTGTGTGAAACTGGTGAGTGAAATAGATACTGCCTCCAAAAAGAGGCAATATGCCTCCAAATGCTCGCTCCACAGCAGTAGGGCAATCTATGTAAGAGGAAATCTCTGTCCAGGGTCAGAAGTCTTATTCTGCCACATTACCTTCTGCTCCTTCCCCAAGTCCTAACTGAGATGTGTGCTGCTAGACGCTGGAAACTCGTGATGAGTTGCTTAAGCCCCAGTGCCTTACTCTTCAAATACATTTAGATCATTCGTAAAATGAGGAATGCCCATAAGGTCCCTCCCGATAAAAGCTGTGTGAGTGTTCACTGACCATTCGGAAATGCTCCATTTGGAAGTCTCTACAGCAGCTGTTCTCAACCTGTGGGTCAAGACCCCTTTGGGGATTCGAACAACCCTTTCACAGGAGTCACCTAAGATGATCGGAAAACACATATTTCTGATGGTCTTAGGAACCAAGAGCTCGCTATTCTATCCGTCACCAGGCAGGTCCGCCCACATGAAGATATGCTCACATACGAGTACCTGGCATGATGACATCATCGCACCAACCCCATCATATACACCCCGTACAAATACAGGTGTATGTGACAGGGTTGGCACTATAATGTACTTATGCGGGCCAGTCACTCATGTGTAGAGAGCAGCTACTGTGCAGAGAGCAGCTACTGTGTAGAAAGCAGCTACTGTGTTGAAAGCATCAGTATTGGAGGTAAAACGATACTTCATGAATTATAATTACTGGGTAAATGCTTTAATTAATGCTTTAATCACTATGCTTTAATTATGTTCAATTTGTAACCATGAAAATACATCCTGCATATCAGATATTTGCATTATGATTCATAGCAGTAGCAAAATTACAGTTAAGAAGTAGCAACAAAAATAATTTTATGGTTTGGGGGGTGGTCACCACAGCATGAGGAACAAAGGGTCACACCATTTGGAAGGTTGAGAACCACTGCTCTACAGGATGTTTAATTTCATGAAGTGCCAATTTCCAGCTGCGCTCAATGTAATACATATCTCTTCCAGGCAAAGAGAAACCAGGAAATTCTGTGGATCCTCCATACACACTCGTTCACTTTCTTCAGCAGCCATTGGGAGATGATCAGGAGCGCAGCTGTCAAGCTCACAGGTGAGGAAGCATCCCCATTGCCTACTCAGTTATGTCCTCTATTTACCATCTAGGTTGGTTTCGATTGGAAGCACCTCCACTGCAAACATTGGTTCAAGCAGAAGCTAAATTAAGAGATGGCCAGAAGGAATTTACGTCTTACAATCTCTTCCCTCAATGGAGCCTATTTTCTTGTGCAAAATGAAAATATATGACTTTTTCTGACTTCCCAACACTCACTCACCCCCAATCAGGTCAAGCTCCTTCATGGGCTCTTCATGCTTGTCATGGTCTACAGTCTCTACTGTAAGCCTACTGCCCCTGCCCAATTTCCTTCCTTCATCTCATCCCTTTTCATAGCTCATACTCAATCTTCAATGCTAAGTCTAAGCTCAGAGTTTTAGCAGCAACATTATATAAATTGGAAGCATGCTGGTGTGGGGGCCAACCAACCTTGGTTCTACTATGTGATTCAGGATAATTCATTTTTGCCTCTGTCAAATCTATTAAAGCGAAAAATAAGGTATTCTCTGAGATTACTCCAATTTTGAAGTTCTAATCCTTATCATGAAGTTTGTTGCACCAAATCTGGGCCCAGTGAACTGTGCCACTTGTTTGGCCACCTTTAAGAATAAGGCCTTTTCTTTCTTTTAAAAATAATTTTATTGGCATGTAATTCACATATCATACAATTTAATCATTCATTCTTATTAAGGAGAGTTTTGAAGCCATTACCGCAGTCAACTTCAGAACATCCCTTCTTGTATCCATTGTTGTCAGCTCCCCATTGCCCCCTAATCTTCCCTGCCATTCTCCTAGGGGATTACTAATCCAGTTACTGTTTCTATAGCTTTACCTGTCCTGAATGTCATATACGGCAAAATCATACAAAACACAAACAAAAAATCAACAATAATTACAATCAAAACAAAGAACAACCTCAGTCAAAAAGAAAGCAGAAGATTATTAAAAACTCAAACAACCTTAATGTGAGTCAAAAGGGAGATCAAACGTGTTACATTTTAAGCTAACTGCATCTGCTATAATAGACTGTACAATTCTCTCTGTCTGACAGCAAGTTTATTCACATATCTGGACTATGGCCAGAGAGAGGATTAATCCAGGTGTGGACCCTGAAAATGAAATTTGGACTTCCACAGCCTTTTGCAAACCAGGTGTTCAGAATTTAAGCTTTGATACCATCCCCTCCTTCAGATTTGGGTTTTATTATCTAAAATCCTTGGATCACACAGACTTGTGTGCTTCTTCCATGTGGATTTAGCTGACTCACTTTGATGGCTGCTTGTTTTAAGAGTGGGTAGGTTTGAAGAGTGGATTTTCTTGACATATTTGAACGGAATTACTGAGCGGAATTACTGAAATGTGTATGATGGGCAAACATAACTGTGGAATAGGAAAGGAAAATAACAATAAATATAATAATAAATATGCATATCTAACAAGGAACAGATTGACTTTGGGCTTCTATTTAAATCTTCCACCGATACAAGAACAGTTTGTTCCAATAATGTGGCACAGTGTGATAATCACCTTCCTAACATAATCGCTGAAGACAAAATAGATGCATAAGCAAATGTGGTAAAAGAAGCTGATAGTGCCTGGCTATCAAAACATATGGTGTCTGGGTTTTAAAGGCTTATAACTAAACAAGTAGCCATCTAACAGAGAAGCAACAAAGCCCACATGGAAAAATCACACCAGCCTTTTTGATTATGAGGTTTCAATTGAAAGAGGTATCAGAAGTTCAAAAACACACAACCAACTTGACGTGGCATGGATGCAATGGAGACCCAAAACTCACCTGCCAGGTAATTGGAAAGTCCCTCTCAGAAGGGTCACATGCATCATCAGAACGAAAAATCTTACCATAGTGAATTATGGGGGGAGTGCGGAGTGGAGACCCAAAGCCCATTAGTAGGCCACTGGAGATCCCCTTGCAGAGGGGTCTTGGGGAGGAGACGAGCCAGTCAGGGAGCGATGCAGCAACGATGGAAAATACAACTTTCCTCTGGTTCCTAAATGCTTCCTCCCTGCCCCCACTATCATGATCCGAATTCTACCTTGCAAGTCTGGCTAGACCAAAGGATGTACAGTGGTACAGATGGGAGCTGGAAATACAGGGAATCCAGGGCGGATGATCCCTTCAGGACCAGTAGTGTGAGTGGTGATACTGGGAGGGTAGAGGGAGAGTGGGTTGAAAAGAGGGAACCAATTATAAGGAACCATATATGACCTCCTCCCTGGGGGATGGACAATAGAAAAGTGGGTGAAGGGAGACGTCGGACAGGGCAAGATATGACAAAACAATAATTTATAAATTATCAAGGGCTCATGAGGGAGAGGGGAGCGGGGAGAGAGGGGAAAAATGAGGACCTAATGATGGGGGCTTAAATGGAGAGGAAATCTTTTGAGAATGATGAGGGCAATGAATGTACAAATGTGCTTTACACAATTGATGTGTGTATGGATTGTGATAAGAGTTGTATGAGCCCCTAATAAAACGATTAAAAAAAAGAACAAGAAGGGTCACATGGAAGGGTGATAAATCCAGGGTGCAGTATGACACTGATGAACCACATAATTATCTGCTAGTTCATTAACATTTCCTCCCCTTATTATTAAGGTGGCTATTTGTTTTACTTCATTAATTGTTAGATTTGTGTATGTTCATTTGTATATTTAAGATTGCTCAGTCCGTGAAAGTCAAGACAGATAACCCTCCAGAAACAGTAACAGGAGTAATGGTCCCCTGAGGGTATGGGAAGGGGGAGGGTATGAAGGGAAGGGGGAGCTGATAGCATTGATGATTGCTTAATTCCACTCGATGGAATTGAACAAAAGAATTTTATGTGAATGGATATATTGGATTGTGTAATATATATCAATAAATCTATTTTTTTAAGATAAGCCTTTAAGACCAGACCCCAAGCTCTACTCTGGAGACTAGGGATTTGTTATTGGATCATTTATTGTAAACTTTTTGAAGACAGAAATAATAGTATATCTTACTCTACCTTGAACCATACCCTTGGTACCCTGAGAACAAGTGGCACCTCCTGGGAGGACATCGTTTAAGCTTTCCCAAGAACACCTTCAGTAAGAGAGTGACCACTTCCAGGCACCGTGCTACTAGAGGTCATCCTGATATCATCGTTGGAGGAACTCAGACCATTTTCTCATCTAATCGATTAAAGCTCATCTTCGTTTTGTGGATGCACAGTCAGACCTGACCTAATGTTCATGGGCTCTTATAATGCAACTTCCTCTCTTGTTTCTTTAGATTCCATCATTCTCAATTTGACCAGTCAATATGTGGAGTTATTAGACCAAGAACAGCTGACCACAAGTAAGTGCAAACCCTCACCTCTATCCAGTTTAGTGTCGTATTTTCAGGGAAAGAGAAACTATTGCTGCTCCAAGTGACATGTTAACCAAGAAATTGAAAGTCTTGGTACTTCATTGATTATTGTTACTGCCCCTCACTGGACACTGAGAATTCTCCAGGGTCTAAGGTACCTCCCGCCTCCATCTCTCTGCAGGCATCATTACTTTCTAATTGTCTGTAAATCTACTGAGAACAAGACCAGGTTTTCTCATGTTCAAAGTTCAAAGGAGTTTCTCAACCAACCCGAAATTTTCTTTTGAGTGGGTGGGAGGGGAGTAAATGTGAACATCAGGGACTGAACCCCCCTTGGGTTGAACCTCAATAGGGAGCCATGCAGAATTATGTATGTAGGTTGGGGTTTGGCTAACGTTTCTCTTCCTGATGGGCACTGACTTTCCTCATTCAAAGGATTTGACTATTCTTTTCATTTCAGGGCTCCAGGCACTCCGTCAAGACCCTTGTATTAGTGTCCAGCGAGCAGCCGAAGCTGCTTTGCAGACCCTCCTGAGAAGGTGTAAAGAAATAAGCATCCCTCAGTAAACCATCAGGAAATAAACCACTAGGCTTTTTTTAAAATGTACGCTTGTCTTCATCCAAACCTGCTCAGACTTTGAGCATCTTGGAGAAAGAATTGACAGCAAATATGGGGGTCTTCAAAGGGCAACAGACTCTTAACTTTCCCAATACTCCCAGATGGTTTCCATTAGCAAAATAAACCCCACAATTTACTTGCATCCAGGATAACCTGTGATTGGAGTGGTAACCATGACATGGTTTGCATAGGTTAGCCCTGGTCTTTGCTAGTGATGCTCTAGCAGGAGTACTATCAGTAGGCAGTTTTAAAGAACAGAAATTTATTTTCTCATAGGTCAAGAGGTAAATGTGAGCCTTCACCCTGAAGGATACCAGCACTAGAGGAAGCTCCTCTCGGTGTTGATTCTAGGGGAAGGTCCTGTAACCCTATCATTCCGTGGTTCCTTGGTGGTGCCCACAAGGCAACTGTCTTTAACCTCTGTGTGCTTGCTTGCTTCTGTACCTCATCCGTTCCTTATTTATCTCAAAAGTGGTTAAGTTGAAGATATATCCTACATTGATATAGTCTCACTAAGAGAATAAAGAAACCTTGTCCCCTGAGGAAAGTAAGAGGAAATAGAGGAAAGAACCAGGAGGAAAGGACATTTATAGAGGTCTAAATACAGGCATGTACATATGTAAATATATATATAAAATGAGAGGGGAATGGAACTATGTACTTATATCTATATGTTTAGAATTAAGGTAGCAGATGGACAATGGGCCTCTACTCAAGTACTCCCTCAACACAAGAACACTTTGTTCTAACAATCTGGTACCCTGTGATGCTCACCTTCCTCACACAATCGCTGAAGACAAAATGGATGCAAAAGCCAACGTGGTGAAGAAAGCTGATGGCACCCGGCTATCATAGTATCTGGGGTCTTAAAGGCTTGAAGATAAAAGAGAAACCATCTAGCTGAGAAGCAACAAAGTCCACATGGAAGAAGCACACCAGCCTGTGTGATCATGTTGATGGGATCAGGGATCTGGCATCTAAGACCCAGAAGAAAATCATTCCCAAAGTGAATGGGGCCAGGGGGGAGGGGAATGGAGTGGAAACCCAATGCCCATCTGTAGACAATTGGACATCACCTCACAGAGGGGTCACAGGGAAGAGATGAGCAAGTCAGGATGCAGTGTAGCACCGATGAAACACACAGCTTTCCTCTAGTTCTTTGGTGCTTCCTTCCCCCCACTATCATGACCTCAATTTTATCTCGCAAATGGGATTAGTCCAGAACATGCAAACTGCTACAGATAAAATCCCAAAACACAGGGAATTCAGGATAGATAAAACCATCGGGGCCAACAATGAGAATAGAGATACCAGGAGGATTAGGGGAGGGGGGCATGGAGAGGAAATCTATCATAAGGATCAATCTATAACCCCCTCCCAGGGTAACAAATAATGGAAAAGTGGGTGAGGGGCGACTAAGGACAATGTAAGATATGAAAATAATAATCTATAACTTGTCAAGGGTTCATGAGGGAGGGAGGGAGGACTGGGGAGAGAGGGGGAAGAAATGGGGAGCTGATATCAGGGCTCAAGTGGGAAGGGAATGCTTTGAAAATGATGATGGCGGCATATGTGCAAATTGCACTGGATGAATGTATGGACTGTGATAAGAGATGTAAGCACCCCCAATAAAAGTAAGAAAAAAAGAAACCTTGTCCCCAAATGGGATTACAGCCACAGAGATACGAGTTAGCATTGACAACATATTGGGGGGCTGGGAGGGTGGTGGAGAGGGGGACCCAATTTAATCCAGAACAGCCCTCTATCTTGAGAAGCCTAAATTCCAACAGATATGTCAATGTGATCAGAGCATGAAATAAACTTGCTGCCACTCAAAAGAAGCCTATTGCTAGCTGTCCTTTCCACTAAGATCGTTGTCAATTTGGCATTACTACACACACACTTCTCTTTCTAAAATATACTCTTACGGTCAACGTTACCTCACTTTCTTCTCCCAGGTTGTCATGTGTGTGTCCTCACTATACCAGCTACTTTTCTATGAAAGACTTTTCTGACATCCTATGAACTTTTCCAACTGCCTTTCCAGAACAATCCTCCCCTTAAATTCTGTGCGTGATCACACAGGTGCGCATGCATGTGTATGTGCATGCATGCATGTGTGTTTCATCCTGTTTCACAACAGTTCACTTTTTTTAAAAAAGCCTACTTTAAAAGTGACATGCAAAATTATGTTTATAAAATATGTCCAACACAGATTCCAACACCCAACGCTTAGTTAACACCATCATGGTCTCGTTATCTTGCATGAGCAGCATTATTAAAGTGGGGTAGACCTTCACAATGTCCCTGAAAATCACTTATAGTCTAATTTCGTCATCCCCATATTCTTTGGGAGAGAAGCTTATTTGTACAAAGCCTTCCGAGTGTGGAGCCAGTTCCCCTTAGGAGCTTCTGGTATTCATATCTGTTTGTAATGTCCCCTCCCACATCAAAGAGGCCTAGTTTGCACAATGAGGAAGGAGAGGTGGTGGTGCAGTGGTTAAGCATTTGGCTGCTAACCATCAGTCACTCCCTAGGAGAAAGGGCCAGTAGTCTGTTCCATGAAGGGTTCAGCCGAGAAAATGCGATGGAGCAGTTCTGCCCTATCCCAGAGTGTTGCTATTAATGGACACCAAGTGGGCAATACACAACAACAACAAGGAACCAATAGAAAATTGCAGAAATAGTCAGGTGTGACTTCCAAGATGCGGTCAGAAAAGGTACCAGGCCCTCCTGAATCACTCACTCGTGGAAAGCCATCTGCCCAGTTGTAAGGATACGTGAGCAGCCCCAACGGTCAGAGCTACATGGGACAACAAGAATGGAGGCCTGCTGCTAAGTGACAGCATGAAGTTGGTAGGCATGTCAGCGAGCTATCAAAGAAATCGAACCCTGAGCACCAGTTAGGTCTTGAGGGAACTGAAGCCTCAGTTGGCCCCTGGGCTGTAACCTACAGTTAGTTGAAAGATCAAATGTAGGAATCCAGTTAAATTTGGATTTCAGATAATGGTGTATTTTTTACTATGTTCCAGTGCCTGCATATGCCAAAACTTATGTATTATTTATCTGAAATTCAAATGTAATTTGGCATCTTATGTTTTTGTTTGCTAAGTCTGGCAGTCTATTATAATCTAATGAAATTCCCTGAGCCAGAACCATCAAGCTGGGATACTCCCAAAATGTTGAACCTTAAAACTATAATAAATCTTTGTTGTTTTAAACCATTGTGTTGAGCTAATTTGTTATAGGTCACTTGGTAGCTATTACACAGAAGATAATGATCCCAACAAATTACTGTTGTCTAATGTATGTGTGATTGAGTTAAACTCTTGATAAGTACAACTATTCCCAAGTATAGCACATATGAAGCAGAGCAAGAAAACAAAGGTAAGAGATGCGAGTTTAGTTGACTACTTTGTCAAGTTATATTGTCTATTTCTGTGAACAGTAGGATTTTCTGAGATAACAGAAGTGTTCTATATCTACACTGGTCAGGTACATGGGCTCCTTAGACACAAATAAGCACTTTAAGTGAGTCCAGTGCAACTGAAAGATTTCATATTTTAATTAATTTCCATTTTAATATCTGGATTTGGTTAGTTATCTACCATATTGCACAGATTGTGTCAAGTCACAGGAAAACGATAGCATGCCCACAGCAGGTGCATAAATTCACTGAGACAGGAGGTTGTCTGATAATATATAGGTATATCCCCACCACCACTCCCTACTCTTCCTACCATGTAGGAAGGAACTTTCTCATAAATCAGTTGACAGAGATAAGGAGAATGATCACATGAAGCACACATCACCACTGGACCTTTACAGAAGGATTCAACTGATAAGATGTTTTTAAAAAAACTTTTTGTCATATTCTAGCTCTTAACATTTACTGATCATGAAGGAAATTTTATTTATTTTTCTCTGTGCTAGAATTTCCACATGTGTAAGATTGGCTATAAATATCTACTCAAGTTGCTAACATAAGAATTAAGTGTGTAACATATAAGCATTTTATCCTAGCACAGTATATATGTTTTATCAATTTTAACTACATCTTAGGTTAAGTTCTCTAAAGAAGCAAGACCATGAAGTTTTTAAAGGTATGCATAGAGAGAGGTTTATATCAAAGTAGTGACTCACACAGTTATATAGTTGGGCAAATATTCCAAGTCTGTGTGTCAGATGTCAGACTGGACTGTGTGATCACACGGTGTCAAAGGAATCAGTTATCAGGCATAGAAGAACAAAAAAAAAATCATATCACTCTGTGCTCACCTCCCCAAATATGATTGCTGAAGACAAATGTGTGCTTAGGCAAATGTGGTGAAGAAAACTGATGGTGCTTTTGGGGTCTTAAAGGCTTGAAGATAACCAAGCTGCCATCTACTTGAGAAGCAACAAAGCCCACATGGAAGAAGCACACCAGACTGTGTGATCACGAGGTGTCGAAGGGATCAGGTATCAGGCATCAAAGAACAAAAAAAATATCATTGTGAATGAGGAGAGTGTGGAGTGGGGACCCAAAGCTCATTTGTAGGCAATTGGACATCCCCTTATGGAAGAGTCGTGGTGAGGAGACGAGCCAGTCAGGGTGCAATGTAGCAATTATGAAACATAAAACTTTCCTCCAGTTCCTAAATGCTTCCTCCCCCCACGCTATCATAATCCCAATTCTACTTTACAAATCTGGCTTGACCAGAGAATGTACACTGGTACAGATAGGAACTGGAAACTCAGGGAATCCAGGCCAGATGATCCCTTCAGGACCAGTGTGAGAGTGGCGACACCTGGAGGGTAGAGGGAGAGTGGGGTGGAAAGGAGGAACCGATTACAAGGATCTACATGTGACCTCCTCCCTGGGGGACGGACAACAGAAAAGTGGGTGAAGGGAGACGTCGGACAGTGCAAAATATGACAAAATAATTTATAAATTATCAAGGGTTCA